CATATGAAAGGGTTTAAGCATGCAGTATACAATTGGTCTGTTTTAAAACCTAGTGTGCTGCCTACAGAGACAGCATTTTAGGGTACAAGTTATAGGTGTACAAATGCATTGCTGCATAATATATAAACACTTTGGTTCACAAGTTTTGGGGTCGGTAAGGTTTTCTTTTTTTTTTAAATGTTCACCAAGGTTCCATTTATTTGGTCAAAAATGAGTTAAAAACAGAAAGATTGTGAAATATTATTATAGTTTAAAATAACAGTTTTCTGTATTAATATATTATATTTCCTGAGATGACAAAGCTGAATTTTTAACTGCCATTACTTCAGTCTTCATTGTCACATGATGCATTAGAAATCATTCTGATATTCTAATTTAGTGTTTAAGAAACATTACTTATTATTAAACAGTTGTGCTATTTATTTTTTCATTTGATTATTAAGTTTGTATTATTTATTTAATTAATTATTATTATTTTTTATTCCTGTGGAAGGATTTTCTGATAAATAGACAGTTCAACATATAGAAAATCAACAGTAAAAAAAAAAAGCTTTGTCATTTTATTTTTTAAGTTGCTAACCCAAAGTGACTTTTTTATTTCCTTTTTGAACTATAGTTCCCTTTCAGTCGGTCACTCTCGACGTCACGTCGGATGACCGACGAAATTAGGATCTCGCTTAGAGAGACCAGTCTACTTCGAGTGTAAACTAAACGAGCCAATGCACATTGGCATGCGATTATTGCATCCAGCTGCTGCTGATCACAGCGTGAGTATAAGTAGGCAGCAGATGCAGCGCATATTCAGCTATGCCTGAATCGGATCCAGAAATAATGGCTATGCTTTCCCGGGCCGCCGTAGGGGTAGGGCTCAAGTGGAGACTTCCACCGTGTCCCGAGCCCTCAAGGTTGCACGATTGGTTCTCGGGGTTTTCCACGCTCGATGCCTTTCTTCCCGGAGGTGCATGAGGAGCTCAACAGGTCGTGGACGGCACTTTTTTACTGCCGGAAACCGATCTGCTGGTTCCTCCTCCCTCACCACCCTCGATGGTAGGGCAGCTAGGGGGGTACAAGGCTCCCCCCGGTGGAGCGGTCGGTTGCGATGCAGTTGTGTCCTAATACCGCCTCCAACCGGCAGGGAGAACCGTGCCTCCCCTCCCGGGTCTGTAGGTACTCGACTGGCCAGCGATGCTTATACGACCTGTGGAGAAGCTGCCTCCACCTTACACGCTACGGTGTGATTGCAAGTGCACCAGGCCAAGGCACTGAGGAACTTGCACGACGGTGGTCACGACCCGGAAGTTCGCAGAGAACTCTGGGTCGTGCGATGTCCACTATGGTGGTCCAGGAGCGCCATTTCTGGCTGTGACTGGTGACAT